ATGTTATTGGTTCGTGTATAATGATTCACTAATTCTCAGTATATTTTTTTGCAACACTAAAAACTACGGAAATTGCTTTTGTCCCTGATGCTTGTAGACAGAATTTATTTCTCGTTTCAGATTTATTTAGTCCAGAATTTCAGAGTTTGTGTATTAGGTCATCTTTAATGTCAGACATAACCTGTGAATTTTCAGTGCAAATGCTTTTTTTTTTTTTTTTTTCCTCCTCTCCTCCTATGCCCAATCTGGGTAATAGATAGTGATGATAAACTTTAAACTTAGTCTAACTACCAAGAATAGAGTCTGGAAAAAAGCAATCTGAGCATCTACAACAAAGCATGTGAGAGAATTAACTAACCTTCAGGGGTTTGAATCAAGAAGCTTTTTGATTCAGTTCTAGCTGAAGGTAGGGTTGTTCTTCCTGGGGCACAAACAGCTCGCCAGCTGGGTTTGTCCATCCCTGCTGACTTGTATTGGGTTTTGGGTAAAACTGAGCATTCAGAGTGTGCCCTGGGGAAACTGAGACTTGGTAGGACTTTGGCTGTGGATGGAGATTTGTCCAGGATCCCTCACTTCTGCCTTCCTTCCCACACAGTGGCTGCTTCCCTCTCTTCAATAGCAGCTGTCTTCCTCCCTCTGCAGCAACAAAGCTGCATCACTGCCCCGGCAGCTGTTTTAAGTGGTGAGAATTGGGGGCTGAGTTGGAGGAGGACAGCAGAGCTGGATTCCTTGCTGCTCCTAGACTGGCAGTAGAGGAGGGTATAGGTAGTGAAAATAAAATCATTTGGTGTACCGTGTGAGTCTTCAGTTGCATTTGTTATTGTGAACGAATAGTCTGAATTTTTTTTCTCATATTTCAGTTCAACTTCAGAAATCTTTGATGTAGACTTCAAGTTCAAACTTGAGCTTGGAATAATGGTTCAAATCAAGACTCGGTTAAAGAAAAAAAACGTTCTAATAGTTTGTAGTTCTGATTCATTCTCTGTGATTTCATGTGATGATTAATTAGTGTAACTGGCAGACAAATTTTTTTCAGTAACATTTCATCATTGATTATTTCCTAGTATTTTTGAAGAAGTATACGGACGCTACAGAGAAGCAACACGGCTTATGCAGAACAATATTAGTGGGTACAAGAACGAGAAAGTCAACAAAGGAAGCTAAATAACACCTTTTCATTTCTGGGGGAGAAGATAGGAGGAGTCTGAGCAGATTTCCTGCCTTTTCTCAAAACTCATCCTAATGAAAATAACACAGTAGATATTTTGAAGTAAATCTAGTAGCATTTTGAGAATGAAATTGACCACTCTGATATTTGATCTTGGTCATCTAGGCAGTCTTCATGCTTTCAAAAGGATGTTAAGTCATCACTTCTGTTGGGTTTTAAATCTTCTCTTCTGGCTAAGAAGCTTGAAAATGTTTCCAAGCAAAAAAAAAGAAATCTCTGTTGAAATAAAATCCTATCCCCAGCAACATCTTATACCCAGATATGAAATGACCTCCAAATAAACTATCAGTGTAGCAATGCCTTTTCAAGAACGATGTCTAATATTTGTTTCATTTGTTCATTTGTTTCATTCAGGAAATTTTGCTGAGTATGCAAGAACTCTTCAAGGATTCACTTGTATTTATCCAACTACCACGTATTTTGAATGAATGAAAGGGAGACTTGGGAGTGTGGATATCATGTTGTGGTGTGCTTTATTTCCCTTGAAGAGTTTTATCTGTTAACTTGTTGAGGCGTTGAGTCCCATGTTCGCTTTCCGGCGGAGGTGACTGATACCTTTGAGTGCAGCAATGTGTTTTGCTGCCCCTTTGTCAGTATTTTCAACAAGTGAAGCTATGCTCTCTAACAATGAATTTTTAGCAAAATCTATCCGTGTACAGTGGGATCTTCCTCTTTGTCATTAGTATTTTTTCCACTTTCAGCCATCTGAACCCAGCTGTACAGCAAGATGTTACGTTTTCAGAGTCAGATGAAACTGCCCAAGATATATTAAAATGGTTTCATTTATGCTAGTACTTCCATTTTTTCTGACCATATGGAGCTTCCTACAAAAACGTGAAATTGTATTCATTGTTTTTTGAAATTGTCACTAACCATATAAAAACACTTATTTAATAGTATTCAAAGTGTAAGTTCTTCATCTGGAAAATTCAGAGTTGCAACACTAAGTAAAATACAGCCATGTGTGTTTATATAGGTGTGGATACTATCTGTGTAATTAGGAAACAGATCCAGGATCCTAAACAAGCACGTAGAGTTTGATGCATTGCACTTGATTACTTATTTTTATGTGACAGTAATAGGATGTTTACAAATTACAACAATGGAAGCAAGCACCATTCAGCATAAAATGCAGCAGGCGTTTTATTATCTAAAGGTTTAAGTTGGATGTATTCTCAGGGTGTATTTGTGATTTAGTTTGGATCAGGGGAGCGCGCGTTGGAAGCGAGTCTTCCACTTGTTTCCGCCTAATGCACCTGTGCCTTGCAGAGAGCTCTCAGTGCCTCCAGACTGGATTCCTTTCAGATGACACTGAACCGGAGGAAGCATTTCAGGACGACGTGTAGCACGGTCCCCACCGCGTTGCTGCATGGGACTCCCATCCGCGGGACCTGGCCGGAGTTACTCCGCAGCTAGCTCTCCCACCCTGCAGCAGGGCAGTGTGGATGCGGGTTTCGGCACCAGCCGCTCTGCTCCGCAGATCTGTGCTTACTGCACTACGCTGCTTGCTAGCACAGACAAAGCCTCAGAGGACTGTGGTGTGGTAGTGGAGGAGACCAGGACAGAAACTTTAATGTTTATTTAAAGTTGCAGGTGGTATTGTTTCAGAACATGCTTTTCCACAGCTGGTTAATTTAGTTAGTTAAAGAGTTGAATGCATATTTAGTTGCTCTCTGGCGCAGGGTTTTTCCCTTCATGTTAGTTGCTAATTTCTATCTTCTTTGAGGTTCTTAGATGGGGGCGGGGGGAAGACTATGTGTGCACATGTGCGCACACACACATCTGTATAAAAGTTAAGTATTCTCAGTCTGCTTGTGTATACCAGATTCCTATTAAGGAAATAATTTCTCTTCAGATTTAGCTATAAACCTCTGAGAATAGGAGAGTTGTAGTGGAAGAAACTACTGTCTTAATTTTACCATAGTGCCTGCTGATGTAGCAATACAAGTATTTTTAAGTGGAATAGTTATATACAATCTGATGAGTACGCTTTCCTGGCAGCAGTTCTTCAAAATCTGGCAAATGGATGGAAGATTATTTTATTCAAGGAACAAACAACATGCTAAGATAGGTATATTTAAGACAAACCTGATACAAATTTAAACTTTGGAGGTTGTGTCTAGCCCTTGCACTTGTGCAGTGGTATTTGGTCTCTTAAAATACTGTTACTGGAGCAGACCTGGAAAATAACTGGTGTGCAGAAGGGGCTTGTTTCTTTGGCAGTGTTGAGTATTTCATAGTCCTGAGTTTTGTGGCTTTGTGATTGTATCAGTTATTTTGAGATTGCCTCTGCAAATGAGAGAGAATATATTTTTAAGGACAGATACTACCAGTTTCTTTACCTTGTTAATACCAGAAGGAATTCTTCTAAAATTTATTACAGACCCTTTCTGAACAGAATGAGTTATGACTAGAGGAAATGGTAACAGTCAGGCTGGGGTGTTTCTCCCACTAATCTGGTGAAGACGCGGTCCTACAAGTGCAGAATTAATGAGAAATTTTCCTTCTGCAGCCTCTACTGCACCACTGTTGTTCCCATATTGATTATATGAGGGTGAATGAGAATTTAGCAGTTGTGTATAGACTAACTCAATTCATGCACAATTTGGGTTTTTCTTTGTCTATTTTTGTTATTTTTTTATAAATGTAATGAATTGGAATATCCTAAATGCAGTTTCGTCTTCCGCCTGGGTTATAGGAGGTAACGGGAAGGGAGAAGGAAATGTCAGCATTTCCTGCATCCTGTTATCTTGTGCTTTTTATGGATGCTGAATTAACTGTACACTGAAAATTCTTTAACGGTTGGATTGTATTTAGACTTGCTGTAATTATAGATTGTGCACTGGAAGCGTAGGAATTATACAGTGCTTTTTCCCTTTACCGGTCTCCGTGATGCTCAGTTAAACATGGTTTTCAGAGTTCTCTACTCTGTTTCTCTTGTATTGCCCTAAGCTTTGTTTTCAGTGTGTCAGACTATTGTATTAATAACGTGTTGCAGCGTTGGAGAAATTGCAGTATTTTTTTTTTTAAATCACCTTATGGACTGAAATGTACATGTGTATGTGAATTATCTGTCCTAAAACTTAAGTTCTGGAGTATCAGCAATTTAGAAATTGTAACTAAATTTAAAAAGGAAGTGCTGTGTAAGTGTAAACCATGTTACTATGTAATCGCATAACCTCTAAGGCGAATCTTTGATATTTATCAGTATATCACTCATGGAATATTGAGTTTAACGTGCATGTTATGTATTTCAGGAACATATATTTGGAAGAAGAGCGTGTATTGCTTAAATGGGGTACTTAAAATGAAAAGTAGGAGAATATCTTAAACTCCATGAGTGTATTCCATTATAAAGAACTCAAATATAGGACCAGTGATTCCCCTCTGTACTTTTAAAATTATCAGTTTGCACATGTTTTAAAATGCTCAATGAAGCTGTAAGTGGATGTTTTGCAGTAACTTTTGTCTCCAGTTGAAGTCATTTTATTTGAAAATCTTTGGGGGAGAGCTGTGGAATGTTGAAATCTGATGATACTTTGTGATTAGTTTTCAAATATTTCTGAACTGCTGTCATTAAATGATTTGATTAATATCATAATGAACATATTTTACTTTCTTTTGTGGAGAAGAAAAAAAAAAACACCGATGTCCTGAAGGAAGTGGTGTGTTTTTCTTCTGAAATAACAGTACTAAGTTTGGAGGAAAAAAAAAGATAATTATTTTTGGGGGGAGACTTAAGTCTAATATTGGCCCTCTCTTTTTGTTTTAGCAGGCAGTTAATGTGAGCAATTGTCAATGAATGATTTCCAGACATGATGGCCGACCAGCCGCCTCCATTAGAAGCTACCCCTCTGTTGAATGAAGTGCCACTTCTACCTCATATGGTTAATGGGGACAGCATACAACAGGCAAGTGTGTCTGTTCAGCTTTCTTAGCAGCCGTGTCATGCTGTGGCTGCAATGGTAGTAGGGAGATCGATGTTCAAGTGCAAGGTAGAAAAAGGAATAAACAGCAAAACTGCCTTGCAACTTTTTGGATAGCAAATAGCAATGGCAGTGCCAATGTTAAGAGGAAGAAAATCATTAAACATTAATGTAGTAGAAATGTGAAAAGATAAATGCAAATTAAAAGGTAGGTTTGCGATACAAATTTAAGTGCTTTAAAATTAACCTACAAAATTCAAGAGTAGAAGAAAAATTGTAATATATGGGTTTAATATTTAATAAAGCACTAAGGTTTGAAATCTCTGTTTAAAGCTCATATAAAATAATCGGCAAAGTCTGGAAAGTGACTGCAGGACTCTGAACTGAAAAGTATGTAGGAGGGAGATGCAGACCTCTGGTTTCCTGATATTAAATATCTTCATTAATAATTACAGTGCACTGATGAAACTTGAGTATATTCAGTTGACACGTTAGAATTTTATTGGACACAACCGTTCAAAAGTACCTATGATTAGAAATGCAGGCGAAAGTGAAGGTAAAGCAATTTGAGTGAAGTACAAGATATTACACAGGTGTTCAAACTAGAAATGAATTTACTGTTTGGCAGTAAAAGATGACTGCCTGGTCATCTTTCTGTAGGATGATTGCCTGCAAATGCTGAGGAATCTTCATATAGCTGGGTCGTAGACTTCTAATGTGCATTCGGAAGTACTACCAACATCTTGATGTTTTAACATTGGATCGTAATTAGGAAGCATCTTCCTCCGCCTAAGCTGTTGCAAACTTTACTGGTCAGATGGGAAAGAAAAGTTTCTTTTAAAAAGAGCGAAATATCTCTTTGTTGTCAGGAATAACAAAAGAAAACATAAATTTGAAGGCTTTGCATGCCTAGGGTTAAATGATCATTTTGTTGAAGCAAGTAATAAAACTGCCCGTTACTTTAATCTGGTGAGTATATGACTTCAAGAAAGTAAGTATTTGACAATAATTTCATTAGGAGTTAACGGGTTAATCTAAAAGGGAAAGTTACATAAAAGTTTCCAGAACGTAAGAGCTGTCATGTGGAATAATTGTAAAGGATAACAGTGAAAACTGTGGCATACTTGAACGTACAATGGGCAAACAGGGTACCACAAAATAATTCTGAATTCTTGAAGGTCTGGTAAACCGTAAATGTGAGAAAGTCTTACATTAAATTTCCTTTCCTTTGTAACTGTTACACTAGGGGAAAGAGAAGAGGTCTGTGTTGTTTTGATTGTAGTATACTTCTTTGTAAAAAGGATAGGAAACTTTGGAGATACAAATACAAGAACTGTGTTCTGTAATAAGCAAAACTAAAGAGCATCTAAGCTAGTTCTGGAGTTCTGGCATTGGTAACGTGAAATTTTAGACACTGACCAGCCGTGAGGCTATACAGTAGCTAGTGTTTCACGTTACAGAAGGAGAGTAGATCAGGTAGATATAACTGGAGACCAGCTCCATAGCTATGTATTTGGGTAGATCCGTAGGTATAATACTAGTGTGTGTTGAATGACCCAAAGAAGGTGACAGTCATGGAAATTTTCAGAACCTAGTGGAGAGTGTTTGCAGTCATGGTGGGCTAAAAAGGATGAATTGGATCTTGGACGTGCGCAGAAGGAAAATGGCGTTTGAAGGAGTAGACTTGACTGGTAGTCTCCAAGACTTATAATTGAGTTGTTTTGGAAATAATGAATACATCTGTCTAGTGAAAATTGGTTCACCTGTCTTTGCCTGGGGGATGGGGGGTTCATGTTAATGTCCCAACGTTTCTCATTCACCTCCATATGTGAACAGTCATGTCACATTGCCATCCTTTGGTTGCATAACAAATATACCTGCCACTTTTTGTTTGTTGCGCTTCCTCTAGAGAGGAGAGGCTTTTATTAGCCACGGAGTCTCTCATTTGGAAGTTTACTTTTAAACAGAGTGTTAACTTAGAAGCTTTATTAGTGCAGGTATTTTTTAATTATTTTCCTGCCAGTGCTATAAAGGGCAGGCTAATTATAAAGTATTGTATAATAATTGTGTTTTCAGAAATAAAACTCGTGCTGTTTGCCAAGTCACTTCAAACTGTCAGATGCAGCATCCAGTTGATTAGCTTGATTTCACATGAAGTTTAGGTAGGTTGGAAGTTTTCTGGAAGCTTCTCATTCCAAAAAAATCTCGAGCATTGGAAATAGTGCAAATAATGGTTAAAAGCAAAACAATGACCAGTGCTTTGAAACAGCTTCCAAACTGTGCTGATCCCACTCATTCTGAAATGTTATGCAAGACTCCTGACGATGTTGATGTTGTTGTAAATCCTAGCACTGGTCTGTCTTCTAACTTGGCTTAGGTTGACTCATTAGAAACACTCAAGCTTCCTGGAAATTTTCCTTGATGGAAGGTAGATGGAACTGCATCTGCTTCGTTAATTACAGTGAGTCATTTCTCTAAGACATTGCCCCATGCATTCCTGAAATTCCAGTCTCCAAACTGCTCTACAGTGGTGTGATTACACCACTTAGGATCCTTTTAGCTGGGCTCAGTTAATAGTTTCCAGAAATGTTTGTGAGAACTTTAGTCAATTGGAACCTATTTCTAAGATCTAGCATGTAGTGCTTCAAAGATTGAATTTCAAAAAGGATTCCTTTCCTGCCTATGAGTTTTTCTAGCCCTTGGAGAGTCAGACTCACCATGAGGTTTAATATCTGCCTGTGGAGTCCTGTCTCCTTGTGGTGTGTCTGCCCTCAGCAGCTGTTCTTCTCAGCAGACGTCATCTTTCCACATTCTTCTCAGCCCGTGATTTTCTGTTCTGTATTTCTTAAAACAAGTAACGTTGCTTTTCTCTCTTTACTCCTTAAGTTTGGTAGAGGTAAAGTTATAAATTTGCTCATATACCAAAAGGACAGATCTGCTGAGATTTCAGTGTTTTAATCATGCCATCTTAAAAGTGCTATCTTGTCTTCTATCCTCCTCATGGAACCATAGTAAATACTACTGACTGACTGGCAGGCTTTTTTCCTGAGATATTCAGTGTTTTATTTATGCCCAGAACCAATTCCTGTAACTTGGGTTAAAATTGTTTCCTATACTGTGAAGTCATTGGCATAGGGTCTGTCTTCCTTTTATGCTTCTATATCCTCTGTTATAAATTGAAAGACTAGCATTATAGCAGTATACAGAAGCTGTAAAATTGATGTTAACTAGTGGGCGTTTAACAGCCTGCTCCTTGGAGTCTTGTTTCGCAGAGAACAGTTTAAACGTAACGGGTCTCTGCAAAAGCCTCCGGTTCTGTGCAAACAAAGAGCACTTCTCAGGCATGCTGTTCGGTGCAAGCAAGGGTATCTATGTGCAATGTATAGTTTAATGATTTCTACTTTAACTAAGCAGATCAGTAGTTTTCACAGTAATTCAGAACTTTGTATGCAAAAAATGCTTTTTTCTGTAGTGTCAGGAGTTTTTTTTGTTTTTCATGACTGGTTTTACGACTGTATGATATTTGAATTTTTATAGTGGCGTTTCTCCTTTACATGCTACCAGTCGCTGTGGTGGAATTTTAATTGTGTAGCTTTTTGTTCTTAAATGGCCCAAATCCCCATTGTACTAAACGATTAGACCTATGTCTATCTGATATAGTAGAATCTGACTGTGAAGTTTTTGTAGTAGAGTTGCTAATATGTTACAGTAAAAGTGAAGCACATGTTATGAACAGGGTGGAGCGAGAACAGATTTTGGCAGATATTTGTGAAAGTGAATATGATCACGTTCAAACTGATCTGGCAGACCTCACTGTTTGTTGTATGGCTGTAAGTACAAGGTCACACAAACACATGAGAAAATGCACTGCCCTTTCAGGAGCTGTTGAGTAGAGATGCTAGATACCTGCTTTACCACCTCTTTCAGCATCTAAAGGACTGCATACTCCTGTTAAGCTTAATTTATATCATCAGAGAATATATTGTCAATTAGTACCAACATGCTTTCAGTGAAAAAAACATGGCTGAGTTTTGGGCAAACCATCTTTTTATAATGTATGTGTATGTATGTGTATATATATATATACATGCATATAAATGCGCATATATAGTATGCGTGTTTGTGTATATACGCTTTTTTTTTGTGAGATTCCTGACTTTGTCAGTTTAGCCTCAAAACTGAAATGATCTCGTAGAGAAAGCTTGGGAAGCAAGACAAATCTTAGGTAATTTAGTGTTTCAGTAAAAGAAGAAGCAGCAGAATGAAAAATATTGAAAATAGAACAGCTAACTATTTTGAGTATATCAAGGGAAGCGCTGTTGGTAGTAATCAGAAAAAAATACTAAAAATACAAAATTAAAAAATTTACATCAAAGCCTGAGGGAAGTTTGTGCTACCTGTCAATGTTTCTAAACTTGCCCTTTTTATACTAAGAATGTCAAGATCTATATTGCTTGAGTGGAATGTATAAGTATGAAGGAAAGGTTTTTCTCAAGTAATCTCTAAAATTTAAAAGGAAAAAACTTTTTTGTTTTGTTTTTTACAGGTTATTCTTGTGCAGGTAAACCCAGGTGAAACCTTTACAATTACAACTGAAGATGGACATGTTCAATGTATTCAAGGTAAAAGAAAGACTGAAGTACTGAATCTAAGTATTTTGGCTTATTCTGCAGATGTCACAGAATGACGATCAGCAGTTGTTTCTATAATGCCAAATGTGTTTTTAGAACTTCTGCAATGCAATAAATTAGATCTTTTAGCTTGTACTTTAAACACAAATAAGACAGCACTGGGAAGTTTCCCAGCTTCCTTCCCTCTCTGCAGACTTTACTGCTGATCTATAAAAGGCTGGCATCTCAGCCGTTTTAGTAAATAATGACTTGTGTGTAACTGTTATCTCCAAGTTGTAATGCATGAACTTATGTGCGATTTAATCCCCACTACCCTGAACAACTTTAATAGACGTGGCGTGACCCCACCTTAATGTAAGATAGTGGCACTAGCAATCTGATCATTTCGAGGGAAGCGTTAATACCCCCTGTGGGTGGCTACAAACTACTTTTTAGCTTGTGGGTGACAGAACTGCAAATTTAAGATGGGTTTTAAAATATCTCCTCTAAGTCAGGTTGAATTTATCAGTACTTCCATTTTTGGACTATTTTTCACCATTTCAAATGATATTATATAAAATGTGTCCATTCTACTTTCATGAAATCTCAGAGGAATACTTATTTCAGCTTGGTGTGAAAAATAATACGTTCTTATTAAAACAAAACAGTAGCTCAGTTGTCAGCATTACTATATTGCAAATGTTGTTGCTACAAACTTTTAACTCTGTCACTATATAAGAACTAAAATTTATCTCTGCTAGTTTGTACAGTTAAAGAAGTGTTGGCTGTATAAGTGTGGAGGTTGGGATGTATCTAATCTGTCCTTTTTGTAAAATAAGCATGTAGAGCCACGCTTTTATTCAGCAATATTATCTAAAATTTCTGTGTGCCTCTTGAAAGTTATTAAATTATATTTAATGGGTGTTTTGAATGTGAAAATGCGTTACCCTTGGTGACATAAATTGCATTATTTTTCTTGATGAAAACTTGATACAGTCGCTTTATTTTTTTAAACTTGCATTCTTGATTATATAAGTTTCTTTCCTAACTGGCTTTTTGCTAGATAGTTTGAGCCTTGCTTCTAAAGCTGCTTGTCTAAAAGTAGATCTGTAAATACGGATTTGGATGTCGATGCTGATTTTTCATCTATATACCCGTTTTCATAAACTGAACTACCATATGTGAAAGAAGTTGCCTCTAAAATTTGTAGAAGCCTTGTGTGATGGAAAAGTAGTACCTCCTTACTTTTTAGGTCCAGCACATGTTCCTATGATGTCACCAAATGGTTCTATGCCTCCCATATTCGTGCCTCCCGGTTATGTATCTCAGGTAAATGTTAATGTATTCTTAAATTTAAATGTGCTTGTCATTGTGGCTGTTTTTTTAACAGTGCAGGTATTGATTATTTTATCTGTAACTGCCATTAAAAGGAGGTCTTAATTTGTTCCATTGAACTTGTCAAATATTTAGCATATTTTATTGCGGACTTTGTTACCTTGTTACTTAATAAAACTTGATCAGGATTTTTTTTTTCATTTGGTACTACTAAGCCATAAAAGATTGTTTTTAATAAGACAATAGATGGCTCCGAGTTGGCTCTCTGAGCTACGTTAGCGCTTCTTGATTTTTTTTTATTTTTTTTTTTCCTCCTGCAGCTCTATTTCCAAAGTGAAAGTAGGTGCTATAAGCAGTCATAGTTGACTGTAGGCTGTGAAGTACCCGACGACTGGGGAGCGCGGGTTGTGCTTAGCTCGGCTGGAAACAGTCTGATGTGAACACAGCTAGTGGATAGTGTGCACGCTGTGGATATGAGACTCATGTCTCCTATTCTGAGCTTATATGGCCCATATGCCACGATCATTCCCTCTTTCGTGCATCAGTTCTTCTCCCTGCCCAGGACAGCATAAGATATTTCTCTTAACGTCTTCTCATAATTCAGGGTTGTTTTTTATTGTTGTATAACACTATTTATCAAAGGTTTTCAATGCCCGTTTCTTTAGCAACTCTGGTCTCCCTAATATTCAGCAGAAGACTCAACTATTATAGCAGAAGTGTCAATGCTAGTGATTTATGTCTACGAAAATAGCAAGACTCTGGGCTCCTTTCCTAGCTTTACTTTTCCATTCTCACTCGTTTTCCACTCTTCTACGTGCTCCTTAAGTCCTGGCGGCTCAGACCTGCGTGGTATTTGAAGTATTATCAGAGATGTTTGAAGTTACAAGTTTGATTTACTTCTTAATTTAACACATTTTAAAAAGAAAATAATTTAAAAACCCCAACACATTTAAATGGGATAGGCTAGAGATCCCCTTCCCGCAGTGATGTTCAAAAGAAGAGAGTTTTCTGAGTAGGCTTGACCACTCTGTAACCGTACGTTCTCGAGTTCCCCAGGCCGTTGTCTTTTTGCATGCAGCTGTCTCTGCAGTTTTTGCTTCTGCTATTATAAGTAGATAGTTTCATGCAGACCCTGAAGAAAGATCCCCCAGATAATTTATGCATCAATATGAAATTGAGTCTTCAGTGCGAACGATATGTAAAGCACTGGCAAATGCTGAAGCGCACAAACTGAAAAATACTTCCGCTCTGTGTTTGCTGTCGCATGAAGACTCATTTTTTGTTTTTTGTTTTTTGTTTTTTTTCCCCCTTGGCCCATATGGCAGGGACAAACAAGCTTGAAACCAGGTTTACAACAGAGCTGGAGTGGAACAAAGTGTTTGAGTTGTGGATAACGGAGACGTAGCAGTTTCAGACTGTAAAATCATATCAAAGTCTTATTATATAAATGTGACCCTTTTACCAGAAATTATGCCCTATTTTCTAGCTTTTTTAATATGTAAACAAAATTGAGTTGCTATAGCCATCAAAATTTCGCATGATTTTTTCACTTTTATACTTGTGCTATATTTAATATATTAATGACTATTATATAATATAGTTAATTTATATATTAAAAAATATGTTATAATACCGTGTAATGTAATATAGTTCAAGTTGTATATTTAGTTCAGTTGAGGAACTAAAAAGCCCCCAAAATTGCTTCTAGGACAAATTGTATTCAGTGTAACAGAAACTTAGTCTTATGTGATTTCTTTGTAATTTTTTTTCTTCTATTTGAAGTCTATTAAAAATTACTAATAATACAGCTGACTTTCAGGTCATATCACAGCTGAACTTTGTCACAGCACTTTGTGAGTGGACTCGTTCTGTTTCCCTTCAGAAGAATATTTTCTGGTTGACTTGCTTTATCTTTTGCCGAGGAGTTTTTCAGAATGTGCTTTTGGCATAAGTAGTATTTCAACATCCGTAATTCCTTCTTGGCCAACTAGGAAATGCTACAGTGATTTCTTATAGCCAAACTAAACATGCTCTAAGAGAGGCTCTTGAAGGAACTCGCAGGATAAGACACATGGTCAGCTTTTGTATAAGTGCTTTCTTTAAATGACTGAAAATGCAAGCTTTTTATATTTATAGTAACAGATGACTATGTACATAACCTTAAATCATTTTAAAAAGTTTTTATTTTGTATTTTTTTTTTTTAAAGATTGCATCAGAAAAAAAAAATTTTGCATCTCCGTTTTGGTTACCAGTGTGCATCGCGAGTGGGCCCCTCCACTTGCATACGCGGACAGTGTTTTGTGCTGACTGCGTTATCCGTCTGTGTGTTGATACTAAAACACTGGAAAGCCTTGCCTCGTTGCATTTGTGATTTAAATTTTTAAATGCAATTCAGAGGATGTGGCAGATATAGAAGGAAGGAAGCACAAAGCTGAGGACTAGTTTTAAACCAGCTTAAGAAGAAGGCCTGTCTTTGTGGGACTTGATTGTTTTTGAAGTGTCTTTCCTTTTAATATTGAACGTTTTTCTGTCATTGCTCTTTTTGTTTCCCCGTGAGGTTGCTCCTACCTGATGTGATTTTTGAGGGGGGGTGAGAATAGGAGGAGTTGATTTGTTGTCTGCCTCAAATGGAATGTAATACAATCTCGTTTGCTTCTGAGTCAAACTTCTCACTAGATACAGTCTGAAGTCCGTCAGTGCACTTCTGTACTGCGGTAAAAGTAACGAACCTGAGTACGACCAAGGTGGTTTCTCTGATGGTCAACTCAGAGGCCTTTGGACCAGGCGGAACTCTAGGTGCTCGAAACCTAATCCCTCAGATAAGGAGAACAGGCTGTAACCACAGACTGAACTTACCTGCTTCCAGGTGATAAAGAATTGGTGCAGATGTTTTGTATCTGTTAAGTTATGTACCCTCCTTGTAGAAAACACCCTGCAGGCTTCAGCCTCTCCTTCTCTCTTCCAAATGTATTAAAGATGAGACTAAACTGGACGTTGTTTTATTTTGGTGAAATCATTGTTTAAAATCTCTTTGTGAAGCCCACTCCGTTGTTATTTCTTTACCTCCTCTTCTGAAACCTGTCTTCTGTCCCAAGTCCTTTCTCAGTTGAAGATTTTGATGCGTGTTATTGTGTAACACCTTAACGTAGGTAAAGTCTACTGTAGAAAAGGTGTTACGATGAGCCATTAATATATTCTAAGCTGGTGGAATTAGAATCTGGAAGGAGCCTATGTATTGCCAGCTTAGGGCAAGAAGTGTGCGTCACTGTCTCCTCTGCGGGGTAGGACATTAGCATCTTTTTTTTATCCTAGAGTTCAGACACACAAACAGGTTTCTTTTCTGAATTCTTTTAGCCCGTGGCAAACATGAAGTATTTTGGCATTTGAGTTAGCTTAGATCAAAGTGCGTGACAGCAGAGCTAACTTGTAATACCTTGCACTTGCCATAGGCTACGAACATGTATGCAGACGTGTACCACAAATCAGATGACATGCAGTAACTTGTAGATATGATAGCACTGTCAATCTGAGTGTGTTCTAAAACAGGTTTTCTCACTGTAACTGCAAGCAGACTAGGAATTACATGATGGTCAATTCACGTTACTTGTTTAAAAGAATGTGTGTCTGTGCATGTGAAAATATATATATAAAAAATACATAAATTCTAGATTACTTAACTCTTCAGTGTGTGGGGCTCAGCTTTTTCAAACTGACTGCCTAAAACTGATTTCTTCCAGTAACACATGCCAGGTTTCCACTGGTTGGGATTCACTTCCATGTGTGTATCCCTGTTTATCAGGCTGTAGATGTAAACTGGAGCATAAAGAATCTGTATTACATGTACAGTATTTGCAGGATTATGTTGTACTGATTGCATTTCTTATGTTGCATGGCAGGTGGTAGAAGAAAACGGAGTTCGTAAAGTGGTGGTGTTGCCACACTCAGCTGAATTCCACCCTTCCATGCATCCTCCTCCTCCTCCTCCTCCTCCCCATGTGCCACATTACATGCATCATCACCATGCTCTCCTTCCCCACCCGCCTCACCCGGTGTATCCTCCAGTTCCTGGCACAGGAGAGCTGCCACCACAATTCATTCACCAGCATCCACCACCACATGTTTTTCAAGAACAAGGTGAGAGCACCAGTGCTGTTTTAATTAATGAGAAGGCCTTTTGCTCAATGCATCTGAATTGAGAGCAAGAGACCTACGCTCTGTTGTTAGCTCTGTCATACATTTCCTGTGATTTTGGGCTAGTTATTAGCCTCCCTGAACCTTGCTCACCATATGATTTATGGTATATGCTTGAAATACAGCATTATGTGTAAAATATCATGGAGTCTGGTCTGAAGGCTCTCTGCATGTGCAAACTAACATTGTATGTATTTTAAATCTGTTGTCGTTCTGTTTATAAGGATGTAATGCAAGCCTGGTAGCTTAGAAATGTTCTAATACTTGCCCCTCCCTTTATTTAAAATTGCACGCTCTGAAACTTCTGTGCTTTGTCGCAGCCTTGAGGTGACGCTTTCTGAAAAGTGCACTTACTTTTGATATGTGAATTATTTTTTTGGTAGACAGAATCCAAGTACAGCTGGAAAGAAAATAAAAAGGAATAACGCATATACAACAAGAACTTACCCAGTCATCCGTGTAGGAGAATGAAATGCAAGTCCACTCCATATTTAAAAACTGAATGAAGCGTTACTTCACTGGAGGACTGGGATCTTTGCTGACTTAAACCAGGCTATAAGCGTGGTTATATACGCAAGCATTTAGCACGAAAAGAACTTAGACTATGGAAAAGCATTTGTTGTCTCTCTGTCAAGCTTAAATTGGTAACTAAGCTATTTTGGCCAACGTCTAGGGTAAAATACTCGCTTATACCTAAGTTGCATTTTGAAAAGATAGCGTGGATCCTAAACTTACTCGCACCCTTTTGAAAATGTGACTGTATGGCTGTAGCAGGGAAGACAGACAACTATAAGATATAATCTTGAGCAGCTAACAGAAAGGAAAGGTCTGAGATATTAAATTAGAAAAAACAGAAAATCTGAGCTCATGAAGTCATCAAAAAGGAGAAAAGAGTTAAATTCATGAAAATTTTTCTTGAAGATATTTTTATGTATTTTAATGTAGTATTTAACGTTGATCATGTTTCTAAAGAAGAAATTTAAAAAACCTCAAGCCGCCTTTCTGTTCTTGCTGCCTGATCTTCACGTTTGTACGCTAATCTGAGCCCAGTTCAGAAACTCTCCGTCAGGTGAGGTCCCTTCAGTCTAGTGATGCTCTGCTAGTCAGCAGTAGGAAATGTGCCTGTTTCTTGTCTCCTCTTTGCTGCCCAGAGACATCAGAGTATCAGCAATGAAACTCATAAGGATTCACGTAGGTTCAGCTCGGTGCAGCTGTGAGCCGCTGCAGCTCTCTGTGTCTGACTGACTGACAAAATGCAGGGAAACTGCATGTTTTTTTTCAAGTTCTGATTTTTATTGTAGTCATTCTTCTATCTGCAGAGCATTTCTCAGTTGTTAAATAAAGTGTACCGAGTAATGAAATAAGTTTTCCTTTACTTTATAGAACCTCGTCCTCATGGAAGGACAAACTTTATTCAGCGAGATGAAAGGAGCCTCAAAATGCAGGAACATCTGAAGAAAAGATTAAAAGACAGACAAGCAAGTGGTCATACTAACAATAAACTTAACAGTCCTCCTTCTTCACCACATAAAATTAATAATTCTTCCAGTGCAACGATTCAGAATGGAAATGGGAAGGGACAGCAAGTGGCAGGAGGGCCGCTGAAGCAGAAACAAATAGGAAAAACAAAGGGCAGTCCAGACGCAGAGGTAGGAGGTAGGTTGCACTGAAAAGGATTTAAAAAAAAAAAAAATCTTTTGCAGCAGAAGATCCTGTAAGTTCATTGCAAAAAAGTTTCTGAAAAGATTTACTTTTATAAATTTCTTGGACTGTTCAGGATTTGAAAAAGCCTGAAATGCTTTTCATTGTGTTTGGATTTTTTTTTTTCCTTTATTGATAATAGTAATGTCCAGCTTGGTCGTCTTGGATTTTACCAAGACAAGTCTTTGGAAAGACTTGATACCTGTTTAAGTATAAGGTCATTAAATGTAATTAAAATGTAAAGTGGTAGGATTTCTTGTTAAAAATTAGTTTTCTAAAGTGTCAGTTAGCTCTTGAATTACGAGGTATTAAAAGCAGTTCATAATCACATCATCAAAAATTCCCTCCTCTCCCTCTGTTACTCAGTGTTTAATAAAAAAAAAAAATAGTTTTTCAATCACCCCATCCAAGGGAAACTTTGGAGTTTCTAATAGAAACCTAGAAAATACCCTTTCATTTTTAATCTTTCAGATTCCTGTAAATTACAACGAGACTGTGCTTTATAAATAGTTTACCGCTTTCTTTTCAGCCATCAATTTCTACTAATTTAGAAACAGCTTCGGGAGGAAAGAATGTTTTGTGTGTGCTGTGAAAATACTTTTCACACTTTTCACAGATTTAAGATACTTAGGGAATTTTTCAGGAACACAAATTCTGCTGTTATCATTCAAACATGTTTACTTCTGCCACGTATTTGGCTTTTTAAAATATCATGAAGCACTGAGGATTAATATCTTTAGGTAAGAGTACAACAGTGCATTCCCATAAGGCAAATAAAACTTAACTTGCTTTTCAAGTCTGGTAACTTATATGATGAAAAGCCTAAAACTTAAGTTACATAGACAAACAATAGACCTACTTTTGTTTCCAGTGTTTTTGTCTTTCTGTGCCTCTTGTTCGCCCCTTCTTTAAACCTCTTATTTACTGTTATGCCTTTTCAAGCCTGGGATTCTGACCAGTAGCCCAAGTGAGGGTGGGGAGCTGTGAATATTTACCAGAATGACTCTTGGTTTCATTCTTTGTGTTAACTTTTCAGATGTTATAGGAGTTATTTAAAATTTCAAGTAATGAGAAGGTTTGAGCATTAAACAATCTCTTTCCAGGCTAGTATTTAATCAGTTGTTATTTCAGCTCAGAGCCTTATTCTGCTCAAACTAATATTTGAGCTTTTTAATAGGTGGTGGCTTTTTACTTGCATGTACTAAAACACCTTGTGTACAATACCCGTTTTCCATATTGGTTTTGAAACGGTATTTCTACAGTGGAAACAGTTTCTTACAATTCTTTAAAACAGCTGTGCGACTCTTAGTTGTGTGTGTATGTGCATCTCAAAGAGTAAATAGTCTTGTTAGGCTGCAAGCCTCATCTGTTTGATTACTGTGTTTAACACTTCAGTTAGAGCAACAAAGCAGAAATTTGACTTTGTATTTTGGGAAGTAAATAGAGGTGGAAATTTTTATCTAACTTCTTTCAAGGGCTAAAAATATACTTGATTAAAGTTTTGTCTTAATGTAAGCTTATTTAAAAAAAAAAAAAAAACTATTTCAGTTTTTCTTTAATATCCAGAACTGTTGAACGTATAGGCAGTAGATATTTTTAGTGTAGTTTTGAGCAGGCTTTTTTCCAAATTTTACCAAGGAAAATGATTTGCAATGGAAATTCAGGGAAAAGCACATCGTAAGCACGTGCAATAGAGATATAAGGTCTTATTGTCAGTTTTTAACACCTCTAATTTTCTGAGGAATATTTTCGCATTATCAAAGAAAATCCGCTTAACGCTCAGATTAGGAAAATATACCCTTTGTGCAGGATGTACTAAAAGGGTTTTTGTAACACTGTTAGTTTTGGATAGTTCGTGTTTCTACTCATCAGGCAGCCAAAACAAATAGGGGAAATGAACTTTGCACAATAAGTAGTATTGTTAAACTCTTAATGAAGCGAACTCCATCTTGTGGTGGCATTTTCATAACAGGCTGATGTATTTTGGGAGGATTTTCTGTAATCTGTTTTGTATTTGAATTTTCAGAATCTGACACGGAATCCAAGAAATATGATATTCACTTGAGCATTGGCAAGCCAGTAGTAAGTATTATCCTTAAAATACTGTGATTTTTCTATGCATATAGTCTCTGTAAAAATAACATATATTTTCCTCATTGATTTTTTTTTTTTTTTTTTAAATAGAGAAAATGTATTTTAGTTAGAGGTTATACTGGGAAAGGGCAGCTATGATGTAGGAGCCCGCTTTTTCTCAGTTTTCTGAAACAGTCCACGTGACTCAGTTTCCCAGCCTGTAAGACAAGGTTATTTGCATTGTTGAAGTTGTCTGGTATATGTAAGAACTTTAGTACCCTGCAAACCCAGGACCTAGTAAACTAATGGAAGTCTGTCCACTCGGAGTCTTTGAACCATCCTTCATGTATAGATTTTACAAAAATAGTTCATCATTTTCATGTTATGTTTAGAAATTGGAGCAAATATTTGAGTATTAGCAGAATATTTAGGAAGTTGGAGTCTTGTGGTGACATCCATTTAAATGTCTAAAGCCTAAAATTGCACTGATTTTTGATCTTGAACATGCTTTATGAAATTCCTCTGTGCATCATCGGCACAGTAAGCGTGGGTTGCATTCTTTTGCTCCAGCCTTCCAGCCATTCTTCGTTAGGGTACTATTTCTCCATCGCTGCCTCTGCCATCTGTACTTAATGCCAACAGAAGGCTGTGTTGGCTCTGTCATAGAAAATTTGCAGTATGGGAATTAAATGGGGAAAAAACTTAGGTCAGAAATTTTAGTCTTAGTACTTAAAATCTGAGCCTCTAAGTATCTTCTAAATCAACGGTTAAATATTAAGATTAAGTGAGGGAGCTATAATAGAGTTAGAAAGTTAGGCCATCTGATTGTGCCTAAATGTAGATCTTGTGCCAGTGTCGAAGACTGCAAATGTGAAAACTCGCTCTAAATGAGTCCTACCATCAGTGCAGGCGAAATAGAAATATCTCCTCATACACTGAGATAATGTCATGCATCTACAGTAAGTTTATATATCTAATGCTTGAAGGCAAATCAGTGAATATGATATTTCGGAAATGAAAACAGAACAATAATTTATATTCAAATAACGACTCAATATTTCCACTGTGAAGGTAAAGAATTCCTCCAGTGAGGAACTTCATGGGCAAACTAGCAACACCATGTTATTGACTAATATACCTTTTATTACAGAAAGCAAACTTACTTGCATTATTTATGCTTTTAATAGGTTTCTGATATACAAGCAAGATCAGCCGTTCTGTCCTGGAATCTCCCAGTTAGTTCACAGAATGGAGAGAGCCATAGTCATAGTCCAGCAGCATTTACATTTGAAGTAGCAATATCCAACAGTGGTAAAAATGGAAAATTTAAATCTGTCTATGTGTAAGTTTAGTTTCTTCATTTAAGCACAATACTGATGTTTGAAAACATTAACCAATCAACAGTCTCTTTATCAGGAGCTATTTTTTGACTTGCAGACCTACCTACTTCACGTGAAATAAATTTTAAGTAATATCAGTAAGAGTTACATGGGCGATAGAAAACTTGAAAATTAAATGTACGCTACACGGCTTTGCTTTTCAAAAAGCTTTGGAGTATAAGGAAGGGCTGTAACTCATTTCTTTTCTTTTTCACAGTGGGGAAGAGTTAACGATTACGCTTCCTGATCTCAGACCAGCAACCGATTACCATGCCAGGTATGTTTCTGGAAATGGAACACTTAATGTTGTTGTTCATGTTAATAATTAAACTCTTGAGGCTTCCTGAAAAAGGTATAATCACAGATAGTATGGGGAATATTCTGTATAAAATATCATAGCTATGTACATTACTGTTGCCACCTAAATTCCTACTCATATTTTAGTTACATAAACGTGCCACCTCATTTTCTTCAGCTTTCTTCCTTGCTGTCTTTTCTTGCTTCTCCAAAAGGCAAGCTTCATGATATCCTCTGTTGTTTTTAGAAGGACAAGGTGGGACTCAGTAAAAGGGATTATTTTAGACCAAAGACAGCAGCTAATAAAACAATTTAGTCTCTAACGTGGATCTGCAATTTTAACTTCTGAGTTTGGTTGTAAGGATGCTTCTCTAAACAGCAAGCCTCTGTAGCAATGCAAGGAGGGAAGTGGAAGCTGATTGAAACGGGGGGAAGGTAGATGTTGCGTCACAAAGGAACAAGACGTGCAAGATTCAAGAATTGCCATGCAGAGTTCTTGAGCTCACCAGGGTAAATAAATACTTTCTCCGGTAGTGCTTAGCTGGTCGGGAAAAGGACAAGAAGCTGGTTAAAGAAACCAGGGGAACATTGTGATCTAGCAGTAGAAGAGAGCGCCTCAGTGATTGGGCACAGGAGGAGGCAAGTTTCAAGATTTATTGAAGCGAACCCCTATTCTTACAAACTGCAAACAGTTCTCAGTGTGCCAAGTACTCAGCACAGCTCCACTTGCGCAGTGTAGTACAGCGCGTGTGTTAGGTTCATGGTGTTACTTTCCACATAGGCCAACATCCTCTTACCTACAACTCATTTGAGAAGACGGACAGTATTTCTCACGTTTTTGAAAAATAAGTGAAATCACTGCTCTTCAAAAACAAACTTAAATGAGCATGACTGTTTCAGAGATTCTGTCACGTTTGACAAATTATATATTGGTGCATGCTGTGACTTTATTGCCTGAACAGCTAATTTAGCCTGTTTTAGTTTCTGTACACTTGTACAAGTAAATGTCATCCGTATTTGAATCAGAAGGTCATTTAGCAAACGGTTAATTTCAAGTCAGGTATTCCATCTCATCGCTTTGGTAATGTTTGTTCAAGTTTTCGTTATGCCTCCTTTATTTCATCACTAAAATGTCATTACTGTGATGAAATAAAATGCAGTCTGCCCTCTCACTGTGATGACTAGGAAAGAGCGCTTGTGCGAGTAACCTTGCTAACGTTACTCAAAGGCCAGAGGCCTACAGACCTGTGTGAAGGAGACTTGTGTTTTTGTCAGCAGAGACAAAGCTTGCCACATCCTTTCTGTCAAAGGAGCCTGAACAATAGAAAGGATTCTTCAGTTGTTATAATAGTTTAAAAAGGAAACAATTGTAAAGTTAAGAAAAGATGCCAAATGGGCAGTCTTCAAAATTAATGGATTTACCCACGTGGAACTCCATCAGACTAGTCTGTCAGCACGCGTCTGCATGCAGTCTGTCTCCCTGAACCTGAAATGGATAATAGTATTTCTTATGGTGTAAACATGCTGGAAGCTGGACTGACATCATGAACTCACTGTTTATTATCTACTCCTGATTGAAAAGGCTTGATACTGTCAGCTTTTGGAACCAGTGATTGGAAAGAAGAATGACTGGGCACTTTACTTCCAATGACTGGAGCAGTCTGGTCTCTTTTTTTCTATAACCACTACCTGTAATTAAATGCATTTCTAAAACTCACAACTCTTTCCTTAAATTTTCAGTTGCTAATGCATTAACAGCATACTCTAATTAATTGTCCTTTGTTCAGAGTTTCAGCAACCAGCAGTTCCATAAAAGAATCTGTTTCAGAATTGGTGAGTTTCACTACAGAAAGTTGTGAGCCAGACTCTCCAGCTGCACCCAAGCTAATTAACAGAACCAAAAACAGCCTGAGTTTGCAGTGGAAGGTAAGCAATCTGATGTATTTGTGTATGATACATTTCCCTTTACTTTGTCAATTATTTGGTATTTCTTTTAGATGTTGGAACTTTTAAGTTGCTTATTGAAGACTGATAACTGAAATCGTGATTGCTTCTTCCTCGTTCTTTGTTGCTACTTAGTTTCTCGTGTATGAATTTAGCGTAAGAGTTGGCAGCAGGTCTCCCTAACTATAAACTCTCTAGTAGAAAAGCTTTTTTCTAAAATGGTAGTGTATGAAAGGATGCAGCATTCGTATTTTTGCTTACGGTTCCTGCATGGTAAATGTATATGACTTAAAGTTATGATTCAGACTTCTCGTAGTGAATCTAAGCAACTCATCGTTAATTCCTCTGGCTACCTTGAAGATTAATTTTTGAATTTATACAGTACAGTCTGTGAAGAGTTGGTGGTAACTGTGTGTATGCTTGTCTTCTCATATATTTCTTATAACTATGCATATATCTGGAAAATGGTTTGTAGCTGAATATGACATTAATTAGTAAATTATTTGCATAACCTATTCCCAACAGGTACAGTAAGTTCCCAATGCATATGTGATAGCAAGTATAAGTGTTGGTTATTTGAATGCTTACACTGCTCAGACAGATAGCTGGTAAATACCAAATGCAAGGACACAAGTTAAAAATGTAGGAATATAATTTTATAAAATGAAACTACATAAGTTCATATTCTAAGCCATCAAAATGAATAGAATCCGCATAGCAGCCCAGAGAACCATCAGGAAAGAGCAATTAAATTAATTGCTAGTTTTTACCCTCTCTAGCCCACTTTACTGAGCACGTCTGTGCCCACAGGAGTCTCAGATTATCACAAGTGTGTTTGTGGAAGAGGGGTGTTCTGTGTGCATAGTGCAGACTCCTTTCAGCTGTACGCTAACTTTAAATATGTGGCTTTAAAAGGCAGTTGGAATATACTACATTCAATTATTAAAATGTTTTGTTAATGTATGTAAAAATGTATGTGAAATACAACAATTTGATTTTCACTGTTTTTTATTGTTTCTTCATTTTCAGTCTTCAAATGACAATGGTTCCAAAATAACTAATTTCCTTTTAGAATGGGATGAGGTAAGCCCTTTTCTAGTACAAAAAATAATCACAATGGCATCTGCAGAGCAATTTTACTTAGAAATACTTTTTGCTTAGGTACATCATCCTTATTTTTATTGCAACTGTCCAGATAGTTTTAAAGGGACTAGCCAAATCAAAACCTTGAATCACATTGGCTAGTACAGCAGTGATTCAGGTAGAGAATCCCTTCAGAGCCTGTGAGCTCTGAGAGGATGGTTAAAACTCCCCGATCTTATTCTTGTCATTCCTAATGTCATTAATTCCTGTACACTGTTTAAATGGATGAGCGTTTGACTTGTATCTGCAGTAGCTGTTACAAATATCACTCAAATTTTGAAGTTCTTAACTAAAATATATTCTGAAGTGATAGTAAACTTCAGAAGGTTTTTTTGTTTTGTCTTGTTTTGGGGGAGGGAGGTTGTGCCCTAATTTGGACAAGCAGCAAATGGAGTTTGGATGCTTATTGCTAATTTAGAAAATCCTCTAATTTTGCAGCAAGCCATTCTGTGAGCTTTTTAGGAAGTCTCCTATATTCCCAGCCCTCTCACCAGGAATCCTAGGACAGGAATGATCCAACTCTTCACCTTCGTAACTCATTCCTACGGCAGGTCATGATGTACAAACTCGTGGTGGCAGATCCTCAACTGCAGTTATCTATTACATTTTTGTCAAATGTCCAGCACAGAAACATCAGATATTTTGCTTCTCATTCAAAATGTGATTTTTTTTTACTATCAGGAATACTCAGTATGACTGTGATGACTTTAGCTTTTTACGTTTTTTTAGGCTACTTTTTTCCCCTTTCCTTATTACCATTAATTTGGTGAAGTGAAATTTAGGAAAAGTCAAAGATGAAGGCGTTGATCTTAACACAGGGAGCATACAGTCCCTCTGGACATGACTCAGGTTGTTCTCATTCCTTTAAAGGGGAAGAATGGACCCTTCAAAGAATGCTACTATGGGCATCTGAAGCAGTACAAACTTACCAAATTGTCTCCTTCTACAAAATATTCACTCAGATTAGCTGCTAAAAATGATATTGGAATGAGGTAACGAACACAATATATTGCGTGATTTATTTTCTCATCAACTGTATCTATTGCTGTTAACATTTTTTAAATATACTTTTCCAGTGGGTTTAGTGAGACAGTGACATATTATCAAGACGGAATTGTCCCGCCACCTCCATCGCCCCCTCTGCTTGTGGCAGCAGGAGTGACCTGGCTGTCGTTAAAATGGAGCCCACCTAACGGGGTGTCTTCAGATGACTCTCTGACTTACAGTTTAGATATGGAAGAAGAAGGTTCTGTAAGTACTGGTTTTGTTTTATATATGTTAAAGCCTGATATGCAGTTGTGCTTAAATAAAAATTTAACCCTGTATTTTGCCTCCAAATGAAATAAGGCAAAATAGTGTGCTAGAATCTCAACAGTTGGCAAGCACTGCACATATTCATAAAATAGAATGAAGATTAAGTTATTTTATAAATGGGCAAAGAAACTGATTTTTCCTACTTTTTGGGTTTATCAAGGAAAACTAATGACTGCGTTTGCTTTAGTGTGAGTGTTTTTGTTTTTTTGTCTACTTTACAGGGTTATGGTTTCCAACCACAGTACAATGGAGATGAACTCTCTTAAGTGAAGACCCTTTCTATGGTGACTAATTTATCCACGGTAATTTTGACATTGTAATACTTTTTGCTGAATTATAATATAAAGCAGATTTTTTTTTTTCTGCACTAGCTAATTTTATTTTCCTTTTTAAATTTTTGCCTTTCCTGTTTTCTTGCATGGAAGAATTTTGTAAATCAGCAAGATATTGCTCGTTATTCAATCAAGCATTTGTTGTATATTCCGTTCATTCCTGAAACAGCTCTTTGCCTACAACAGTGAAGGAAAAAGTAATCCTAGTGAAGTAGTAGAACACAGCACCAATCCTGACAAACCGGGACCTCCAAGTAAACCCACTGTAAAGGGAAAGATCCATTCGCACAGTGTGAAAGTTACATGGGGTAGGTTAACTTCTGTTAGTCTTGTCTTTGAGTATTTCTCATAGTTTTGCGTCTATGCACTCAGTAATACAGGTTTATGAAAACAGAGGAAAAATTCTTAGGCTAATGATTTGTCTCTGCAGAGACCATTATTCTAAGAGAAATATTTTGCACTACAAAAAAGTTGCGACTGTGGGGGGGGGGGTGTGTATATACATAGAAACATAGTAGTGTTTTTCTTTATTCATTTAAAAAAGCATTCAGTGCTATTGGCCATTGTAATTGTTTTGTATTTACTGTGATGCTTTAATAATTTTCATGTGCTCTTAAAATATAAAAGTTTATACCTGAAATCAGCATTTTTTTCATGTGCTTCCTCCTGGCATCATCACAATTAGTAATAGAAAAAATTATTGGTCTGGAAAACACTTTGAATAAGTTTTAATTTTATGACTATACTTATATAAAGGTAGATTAAATTTTATTTTGCCGTTTGAATTGAATTTTCTACATGAATGTTCTCTGAAAACGTTGGTTACAAAATAACGCGTTATCTTCTGAAATTTATTTTAAGCTATTGCTTTCTTTCAGAACCCCCCAAAGATAATGGAGGATCAGACATTTTTAAGTACTTCTTAGAAATTTCAGAAACTCTAATTGGTAAGCAATCATCTTTAAATACTAATTGAGCTATGGCTAGTATCTGAACATCTGCATTATTCATTGCTATAGCAATTTCTGAACTGTTTTGCATGACTGTGTGTGTTTGTACATGGTATTTCTTTACATATTTGGTTATGTGGCGTGATTATTTTCATAATTGATACTTCTCTTGATGGGATTTTCAATGCTGAGTTTTTTTCAAAAATTTCCCAATATTAAAAAAGTGTCTTTCTTTCCTTAGGAAGTAAATGGGAAATCATATACAGTGGTTCCCACAGAGAACATGTATGTGACCATCTCAAGCCTGGTACTTCATACAGAATGAGAGTTTACTGCATCAGTAAAGGTGGTGAAAGCCAGGTGAGAAAAAACAGATAAATGTTGGTCCTGAAAGATGTGTTTTATCTATATTTTAGTGAAATGCTGTTTTGTGTTTCCACTCATACGTTATTGCTAGGTTTCTGATGTTCTGACTGTTACGACATCAGCTGTTCCTCCTGGACCATGTCACGCTCCATGCCTGGCAGGCAAAGCCAAGCCCAAGGAAATCGCTTTACAGTGGGGTAAGCGCCAGAGTTTCTAAGCAACTATTTTTCTGATTTTAAATGTTGGAACAAAACCGAAAAGTCTGCTGAAGTCTTTAAAAAATGGAGCCCGTGTCATTAGTTTTTTAAGAAAGCATAAAGCTCACTATCCAGCTTTGGTTTGGTGATGCATACCATTGCAATAATATGGAGAGAGTTAAACGCATAAACGTCTTCCTCTGAGAAGGCTTACCGGCTGCCTCATTACAGACTTTTATTATTGGCAATTTAAAAATGAATCTTCATTCTTTTGTTTTTAGCTCAGGAAAAGAGACAAGCAAAAAGTAGTGAAGTTACAAATCCTTGTAAGGAAATGTGCAAAAATATCTAGAAGGTCATCTTAAATTAATCTAGCAGTACCTGGAAAAAAATTAGAAGTTCATGAATTATTCCTGTTCAGATAGGTGATACACCTGCACTCCTGTTTTTAGAATTCATCTGATTTGTAGCTTGAGATAGCCAATTAGAAACTAATTTCAGAAACCATTTTTTCTTTAAACTAATATCAGAAAAAAATATCACTTTTTATTCCGTAGGCCCACCTTCTGTAGATGGAGGTTCAGAAGTAACAGAATATGTCATAGAGATGGCAAACTCTGAACAAGATGAACGCAGACAAGTATATCAGGGTGCAGCATTGGAATGTGCAGTAAACAACCTACTTCCTGGGAGAACATACTGCTTCTGGATACGAGCAGCGAATAAAATTGGGGTAACCGCTCTACTGATCAGTTTTTGTTATGCAAAGGACAGTAACGGTACTGTTGTGTTAGAAGCCTGATATTTTACAACTGTGTTCCGTGGTAGTTTCATTGAAGGAGCAAAAGCTCTTACAATAAAAAGAGACAGTGTAAAGAAGATTCAGTAAAATAGGGCTGAAGGAAGGACTGAATCTCATTGACTAAGGGAATGTTTGTTGCTGTGTTGCATTTTTGTTGTTGTACAGTAGATTATTGTTGGTACCAAAGCTAACTAGTCACAAAGTTAGCTTTAGTAATTCTCTTCTGTTTTTTAGGCATTTCTTTGACTGCAGTGCAAACCCTATCTTTCTCACTGAGTGACGTTTGTGCGTTAAGAAAATGCCCTGTGTTTTACGGTTAGCATAGACTTTGCAGATTGGCGGTGTGGGGATAGGGTTGTGCAGAGTGGCAGGTTTAAACAAGGTCGGGATAAACATTGGTTGGATAAAAGTCCTTCTGAAACAGTACCCAGTTGCTTCTGGAAGCCAAATCCTGACTACAGGGAAAGGAGCAGTTATGAAACCATAGGAGTGTGTGTTAGTGGGAGGATTACAGATAGCGTGTATGCCCAGAGCCAATTTGTAGAGTAAACTGTCCGAAAGGAATTTTAGATGGTGCTGTGAAGCTAGCTAGCACTGAGATCGTCTATTTAACTGCCTTTCAAGTTAAAAACATTTTTTTTTTCTTCAGGTCATACGCTTGCACATCCATTTTTGCTCTACTATTGTTGGTATGTTCATGTGATTATTTTTTCTTACAGTTCGGTCCTCACTCTGACAAAGCAGAGATCTCTACTGCTCCAGGCCCCCCTGATCAGTGTTGCAAACCTCTGATAACTTGTAAGAGTGCAACTTGTGTTGTAGTGTCATGGGAGGTAGGTTTTAATACTACTCTGTAATGCACACATTAATATTTGGCCTTTTAGTAACATATATACACAGAAATCAAGAAATGACCAATGTGTAGGTGAAATATTTCAAACACATCTCTTGGCAGAGGCATGCATTGTTTTTGTACGTTTTGTTAGTTATGAATCTCCATCTTAACCTGAATGAGCAGTGACATTTAAATCTTTCTCATGGTATGGTAACTAGCATTATATTGCTAATATATTAAACTCATCCAAGTGGTAAGAGATCTTGAGTCATTACAGATTCTGGTCTGAACAGTGTTGTTGTTATAGCCATGTATTTAGATGGAAAACGTTTAATAAGCTGAACTTTCAGTCATGCCCTTGGCTATTGTTGAAGGTCTGAATTTAAATTTACAGCATGGATGTAAGACATCTTCATGCAGTATGCTGTGGCAATACTAGCTTCAAATGTATGGATACATTATACCAGCACTGTTTTAATGATAATAAAGAGGCTGAGCATCGGATGTTGAGAAATAAGATAGTTCTCTCAAGAGACCTCGCGTTTTGAACCCCAGTGCTTCTATTCTAATGTCTTTGTTCCGTGTAACAAGAGATAGTCGCTTGCATGGTGAGCATGTACATATATGTAATAGCTGAATGAAAATGTATCACTTAAACCCACAGAGTCCTGCATGCAATGGTGCAGAAATTGGTGAATACAGACTGGACTGGGGACAGGTGGAAGGATCAATGCATATCATTTACACTGGCTCATGCCTGAGCTATGAAGTAAAAGGTCTCACACCTGCAACCACATATTATTGCAGAGTACAGGTATGAAAAGCCTTTTATTTTGTATTACTTAAAAAAAAAAAATAACAAGTATAAACAGTTTGGAGAAATATTTAAGCTAAAGATGGGCAAAATTATGTACTCTTACCTACGAATGCAGTGTAGAGGGTAATTAGAAGGAACGCTTTCCCTTCTTCTGCAACCCCTCCTAATCATACGTATCTAGAAACGAGGTTTCGGCCTAGTGTCACATTAAATACCAAACATTTTGCCTGAGCATTCTCATGTCACAAAATGGGTGTGATCAGCCACCTTCAGTGAGTGTTCCCACTGCACTTTCATATTCCTCAGTAGACGGTGCTTAGGTTTAACAGCTGTCACTTACTGTTCTTCCTAGGCAACAGAGTGCTGCAAAATACACTATTTTTCAGCTGTCATGCAAGCAGTGCTGCTTGGTTATAATCTCACTTGTAAAAGTAAAATCTTGTGTTCAGTTCTGGGTTGACATGTTTACGTTTTATTTAGGAAAATGTTCATGTTCTTCCAAATTGCTTTTAATGAAATGTAAAATGGAAGCATGATAGATGTGACTATCTGACTAGAAAAAGGTGGATTCAATAAACAATATGTGGTCTGTCTTTCAGGCTGTGAATATCGCTGGAGCTGGGTTGTTTGGTGAGACTGGTGTGGTTACAACCCCTGCATCAGTGCCTGCAGCAGTATCAGTACTGCATTTACTTGAAGAGGATCAAATGGAAATGTCTCTTCCTTTATCAACGTGCCTTGCAATTCAATGGGAAGAACCATGTTGTCATGGGTCAGAGATCACTGGATATAATATAGAATATGGGGAAAAACAGCTTGCAACTGTTGGTAGAAATACAAGCCATGTTCTTGAGAATCTGCTGCCTGACACTCTGTACAGGTGATAATTTATTGTTTTATTCTGAAACTGCCCTTGTAAGAGTTTCAATCCGTAGTTCTAAGAGCAGTGTTTTTAAGTTTTGTAGCAACTTCATTCAGCTTACAGCATATTTTGCAGTGGGCCATTTCTAATGGGCAGTCTTAAGCAAACCAGTCCCTGTGAATGGGATCTGAGAGGTCATCTAAATGTGAAGTAGAGAGAAATTCTGTTAGTTCTAAATAATACTATACTTTGTGCTGCTGAAGAGAACGAGAGTCTGTCACTGATACATCGTGGACAGAACACAAGTGCTTCATGAGATCTCATTTCTTAAGTTGACTCTTCTTTGATGGGACCTCCCTGGCTGTCTTCCCTTAATATTGATGGATTCTGCATTCGTTCCTAACACATCAGATAAGGCTCACTGAGTGAAGTACTTATAAACAAATTGACATGGAAGCAACCTCCTTTCTTTTTAAACTCCCTAAATTCTCACACTATACATAGGAGAATGAGTTAGGGAGTTCTCTCCTTATGATCTATATAGTTAGCAGAGAGGAGGTACACAGTGATTGAAGGCCTTAGTCGATGGAGAGTTAGGTAATTACTTTGGAGCTCTGCTCATAACTCAGACAGTTAAGTGCCTGAAATTAAGTGATGTGATTATTTCAGTAGGAAATGATGATGCTTGGCTAGTTGTGTGTCCTGTGTCTGGCATCCTCCAGTGCAGGACATTATGGGAGATACAAAGAAACTTGAGAGATTTCTTCATGAAATGGTCAGTAACTGCATTTGTCTCACTTCCTATATATCTTTCAGTTACTTTTTGTTCACTAAGATATGTAGAACAGGAGTTTCCTCTGGCTGTTGACACGATTATTGGGTAGCATTCATGAGAAATCTCTTGCCTGGCACATGAAATGTAGTAGCACTTCAGGTGATAGCCTTCACCTTTAGGATGCTAGCAATAAGCCATCAAGTTCCAAACAGCTGCCTTTATTGTACTTTTGAAGACAAACTTATCTTAAAATATAAAACGTCACTCATACTTTGCTGTACAATCCTGCAATATGGTTTTGGCAGTGCTGTCAGGTATGCGCTACCATTTTGCCTGTAAGAGCTTTAGATCCCCTATATTCTGTAATATCGTCTTTTTTTTCTTTATTGTCCATAATGTCCAACTAATATGCTTTTTTTTAAAAAAAAAAAAAAAAAAAGGCAAATAGGACTTGAATTTTAGAACAGGTGTTTCACAGATGTGATTCATGAAATAGTCTTTCTTAGCACTTAATGTTAGGAAAACATCACGGAAGTTACATTCCTATGTAGGTTGCACTGCAATTAGGCAGTATGCAATATATAAACATGAATTTTGTAAGGGTCGAGGAAGAGGAATAAATGCAGACTTTACATAAGCTGCATTATGCAATTTTTTGCTTTTGCTAAATATTTCCCTTATTTATTCAGCAACTCTTTTTTTTTTTTTTAAAAAAAGTCATAGCCAGATTTAAACCGTGATGTTTAGGGGCAAGAGGGAATGCTGTGTTAAGATGGTCGTTCTATCTCAAATCCAAGACGTTATTGTAGATTTTTGTGGGTTTAGAATTTTTTATTCAGAAGTGATATAAATGGTGGGATGATTAGCATCTCACCAAAAGAGGATGAATGCATGGATAGGGTAGCTGTTCTTATATTGTGTCTTTAGCTTTGGTTCAAGTTCAGTTCAGATTATGGAACTTCATCATCAATGAGAGGCAGGCAGTTCAGGTTAAGGTGATGATGTGGAGGACCTGGGCACTTGTCCATTGTGTAGAATAAACCTGAACAATACTGAGAAACATTGATGTTTTGTTATGTTGGAAAACAATGTAATTATTTTGACTCATTTTGAAATAGATTATCTTTTATAGTTAATTTCTAACTGCATTTTAATTGTTGTGTTGTTTGTAGCCATGTTCTCTACAAATGTTAACTTTCACCTCATTTACCTAGTATTTTTTTCAGGACTTCAGTAAATTACTCATAGAGCTGCTCTTCTCACATTTCTAGAGTTAGAATACAGGCCATAAACAGCTTTGGAGTTGGTCCTTTCAGTCATTCCATTAAAGCCAAAACAAAACCACTACCTCCTGACCCCCCTCATCTTGAATGTGTGGTCTTCAGCTACCAGAGCCTTAAACTTAAATGGGGTGAAGGTCCTAGCAGAGCTTTAATCACCAACCCTACACAATTCAACTTGCAGATGGAGGACAGGTTTGGCAGGTAAGATAATTAAAAGGTTGTTGTTATTGCTTAACAACTTGATGTTGAGTTTTCAACACACTTTAAGTTTTCTTACCTTTGTTTTCACTAGTAAGTAATGGAAAAGCTCATTTAGACATCCTGAGTTTGCCCCTTAAGTTCAATTTTTGCATCGCATCTTTCATCCGGAAATGGTGTTAATAGCCATTGTGACAACTGTTCTTTAACTTATTCCAAATGTATCTTGTATGTGCAAAGGTCGTTCTCTTGGTCGAAATCAAGAATTCGGTCATGTAGTTCCAGTGGTAACCTGTGCATGGCTATAGTTTAGTGCCTGCATGGGTTGCATAAATGCTTCATGAATTTAAATTAAGGCTTCCACTAGTATGGATGTTGTGTGTTGGCGATTTAATGTGAATCGTGAACCATTGATGACAATAGCAGAGTTTGAACTGCTTAACATTTCTTAATGCATATATGTAAGTAAGCTGGGGTAAGGAGAAATGTATTGTCACTATTTTTGTAGTAAATTTAGAGATGAAAATGTTCACCAAGCTCACTTGCAATGTTAACATAGAAATTTGAGATTACTGAGTAATTCCAAGTTGTATATATTTTCTTTTCCTTCCAGGTTTGTTACTGTTTATAGTGGTCCTTGTCATACATACAAGGTACAGCGACTCAGTGAATCCACTACATACTATTTTAAAATCCAGGCATATAATGATGCTGGAGAGGGGGAATTTTCTGAAGTTTACGCTTTCACTACAACTAAGTCTCCACCAGCACCTCTTAAAGGTGAGCTCACACAGCACTAGAAACTTCTGCGAGCTATTTATGTAGTATATTAAATGCTTAAACCTAACTCATTTCCTGATCCAGCCTCTTTCCATGACCTCTGTGGGACAGAGAACAAAGACTAGTTGTGTTTGAGCATTATCTTGTTATAACAAGGGCTTTACTGGCTGAAGACGAGCGTGTGGCCGTCTCCCGCACTGTATCCCTTCCACCCTTAACAGTGGAGATGGATTCTCTACCCATTTTCAACTGTTTTTTGGGGGGTATCTATCATTTGATACAAGTTACAACAAACATGTAAGCAAATGAGAACACAATACAAATGCATCCTCTGATCTTCATAATGTGAACGTTAAAGATCCGTTCTAGAGAAGGTCATTCTGAAGATCAGAATGCTAAGTACTTGCAAGAAAATCAGTTTACTGAATCTTGTTTATGGCATTTAATTTCAGCTCTGGAGATATGGGGGGCATAAATGCTGTTCTCCCTAGGGATTTGAAAGCGCTTACTCATCTGGACAAGCATTAGGCTTTAGCAGCTCGTGTTGTCAGCTAAAAAGGAAGATTATTGTAATAAGCGTCGGTTACACTTATCGTTTTGTAAGCTTATGTCATGAAATATAGCAAAGAAAAAGAAGGTAATACAAAATGAAAATCTTAATTCCTTAGAATGATCTGAATGTCTGTTACCTCTAAGAACGACTGTTACCTCTACATTGTTACCAAATGTATTGGAAAACCCTTCTTAAGGTTTTAGATTTAAATTGTCCAGTCACTTGCATTAGAACTGATACACGTTAAATGGAAAATGTACAAAATCAAAGTGTATTCTAAGCCAGAGTGGGAAAAAGTTCCTTATTGTCCGTGAAACCAGTGAAAAGATGAAGGATTTGAGTATCTCCTTGGAGATGCTCAAACCTGACTGGACATGGTCCTGGGCAACCTGTTGTAGCTAACTACGCTTGAGAAAGGGTGGTTGAATCAGATGATCTCCAGCGGTCCCTTCCGACCCCAAATACTCTGTGCCTTTAAAAAATTTTAAAAAAGTCTTGTTGGTGCTGCCCTCTATGTTAAGAGAATTTATTTTTAGTTAGAAACAAAATTGTCTAGTTTCTATTTGAGGTGTCAGATGAACTCTTTAAGTAAGCGGTTCATTGCCCCCTTAACACACTAACTGTGAATATAAGTCACTGTAGTAATTAACAATGTTGGCCGTTTTTCTTTCCATCTAATTGGAAAAGGCAAGAACATTTGTTAAGACCATTGTTCTCTTTCCTAAAATACCAACAAATCACTTTCTTCTAGCACCCAAAGCAAATCAGCTGGAAGAGAACACTTATGAAATCACATGGGAACCTTTACAGCCGATGAAAGGAGATTCCATTGTTTACATCCTTCAGCTTGCTGCTGGGAGAGAGTTTGATCAGGTACTTTTTTATCAACATAATTAATTTTTACTTTGAAAAAGATTTATAATACTTTTCCTCTTGATTTTTACCAAATGTGATTATAGTTTCAATAGTAAATTTTTCCAAAATACATTACAATTCCTGTCTCCTTTGTTTAACTTACTTCAAACGTGTTCAGAGCAGTACTTTTAAACCTCTTCATGCGAGTCATGCATTTTTAATCACATCCCAGGAAAGTAATGAAACTGCAGATTGTATCTTTGGGCATTGAAGATTGGGCAGATAATGGGTGGGCAGTCTTCTCTGAGTGTTTGTCTTGAGATTAATTTGGTCTACCCAACTGCAAGTACTCCTTTTTTCTTTTTTTAAAATGCAGAATTTTGTTAAACAACAAAGGATTTTTTTTTTCTTCCCCTCACACAGGTCTGTCATTTCTCTTTTGAGGTGCTTGATTTAGTGTGGTGTGGGTCTGCATAAGCTCTGCTGATGTTCAAGGATTTTTTTTTCTTAACACCACATGCATGAGTACATGCATGAGTAGTACATCCATGTGCCCAAATGGGTGTGTGTTTCTCATTTTCTGTCAATCTTTTTCAGATCCTAGTTCCTCATTGTAGTATCAGATGGCAGTTGTTTGTGTCTCAGCTATCCTTGTTTTCAGGTCTAATCCTGCTCAGTTGATTGCATTTTATTTTGGAAGAACACTTGCACTTCATTGGCAATGCTCTCTTGTTATGGAGGGTCTTTCCCCAAAGATTCTCTCTGTAACGTGGCTAGTCAACACAGCATCTGTTGCTTCTGCACCAGCATAGTAGCACAACCTTCTTAGCCTTCAAGATTTGCCAGTCACATAGAAAGCAAGATTTGACTTCCAAAGATCACCTGCTTTGGATTGAGGAGCATAGCTCATCCAAGTAAACACACCACGACCTTGATCTAAACAGTTTTGAGTTACCAGTTCACAGAGAAGTCTGTAGTCCGTAGTCCTCACCTGAAAAGAAACAGCCAGCTTCTAGCAAACAGAGCAGTGCACGGTTCTGTAGCAGGTTCCTGAGTTTGATTTTAGAAGACTGGCATCATCCTTTCATCTGTGCTGAAAGGCTTTCCAGTTTGATACAGTCCTCAGTGGGACTTTGTTGGACAATCCCAAAAGGACCGATGATAGCTTTACACTATGGAGCTACTGTGGAGCTTTACACTATGGAGCTACTTTGCACTATGGAGCTACTCATCCATTCAGGACAGTAGGTCCACAAATGATGGTGGACAGTAATCCCTTCACTGTGTTTGACATTAACAAGTACTGAAAGGTCATTTTTTTTCTTCCAGGAGGTGGTCAGCCCTTGAATCTGATGCACTGAGTATACCTGTATGTCTTGCCTGCCTAGAGTTCTGACCACCTTAGCAGATGGGTTCAGTTCCTTTAAATTGGTGTAAATGTGGTACACAAAACTTGAGGAGGAAGCCTGACTTCCCTGTGCAATTTCTGCCCCTGCCAGTGGCTGCAGCTGGTCACTAGACCAGATGAACCTTTGATCTGACCACAGTTGTTTGTTCTTCCTGATTTTGGCAAGCCAATTTCTACTTTCTTGTACTCTTCCTTTCACTTAATTGGAGCTGATCTATAAAGTGAAGATCTTAATGTTTCAGTTCTCTACTGACCTTTTGCTTGTACTGTAAAAGCAAATGACTGCAGAGGCAGGCTTGAGAGTCACTGGGAGAGTTATACAGAAGTGAATATAGCATATATACATAGCATTTCCCTTGGTGCTTTGATTCTTAAATCTTATGGTCTGTAGTGTCACTGTCTTTGTTAGTCAAGGCAGCACTTGCCCCACGTTTGTCGGCGCTGTAGGACTGTGTTTTTTCCGAGCTCCAAAATCCAGATTTGGGATCTGTCACTGTTCAGTGGAGCATGATGGGATGCTTTTGATTATTCACCCTTCAGAAATGAAAGCTGAGATTTTTATTTCAAGAGCCCTCAAGTTGGCTGGAAGAGAATGACTTCAGGCCTTGTCCAGCGTTGCCTTTGTCATGCAGCAGAATGCTACGTGGAAAGTATCGCTTACTGCTTGTAAGATGAATCACATCTAAAGTGGTTCTCACTCTTCTTGTTCTTATTAGGTGTACAAGGGGCCCGAGACATCATTCCGTCTCACAAGCTTGCAGACAAACTGTGAATATCGGATCAGAGTCTGCGCTGGCCGTCAGTCCCAAGACTCTACTGGATCACAAGAACTGTATGGACCTTACAGTCCCAGTACAGTATTCTCATCTCAGAAACAAGAGCTGGTTCCACAATGTGCTGATTTGACGACAGAATTGGCAGAGACTAAGAAGACGTTACGTGAAGAGCGCTTCATTGCTATTGTTCTTCTTTGCGGATTTGCAGTGGTTGCTATTTTATTTGCTGTTGTTATTCAGTACTTTGTAATCAAGTAGACTAGAGCCTACTCAGTACTCAGCTTTTTGTACAGAAGCTATTTCGGGTATTTATGGTTAGTTCTAATTAAAATCTTAGCTGGAAATGTATAAATACGTGCATTTCCTCTTTTGCTGCTGGCTAACAGTGAGGCTGGGTTGGCAGATCCTTTCCAAATACTGAACACAGATTTCTTGTAGAAAGGGTAATCCTGGGTCCTCTGTAATCAGGGTTAGCTGTTAATAAAACAGCAAAAAACTGCCTTATCATGCACACCGGTGTGTGTGCACACTCTTCCTCTCTCTCAATTCAAAGTAGGGGTCCTTTGGCCAGTTCGAGAGAGAAGGCGTTATTAGAACAAGTCCTTTTAAAGTACAACTAGAGCAGTGGTAGTCAATCAGCAATGTTTAATCGGGTATTGTTGTAGTTTGGTATACATGAAATACAGCAGCACAAATGCTTAAGCTTAGAGCAGTACTGTATTGCAAAACATTACTAGAGCATACCACATTTAATATACTGTAGAAGGAAAGCAAAATATTGACTTTGACTTAGTGATATTACTACTTTACAGTTATTTTAATATTTGGGATTCAGTAATAATCATTTCAAGCGTTAGAGTAGAGGGTGCCAGCATTTTTAGGATTTTAATTAAAATGCTAGACAAAATGTTAGCAGGACGTAATGTACATACAGCGATTGCATTCGTATGTAACATTGCAAAAAAGGCCCCTTTTGTATAGTACATTTCTGAATGAAATGCTTTCTGCTGTTGGTGAGCAGCTGTTGGCCCAATCCACATTTCACTCTCAGTGCCTGAGAGAAAAGTAATTTCCTGTGCTTCTGATTAAATCTTTGCAGTGTTTTCAGAAAAGCACAGGTATTGTCTTTAAGGAGAAAGAGTGCATTTATGATAAATGTTACACTATTTGGCTCAAACTGAGCAAATGTTTTTGTACTATTATTAACCTAAAAATAAAAAGTTGAAACTGCTTTTGGGTGCCCTTCTAACTTAATCTGACTTATCAAATTGTACATGAAAGAACTCTTTTTAGATAACATTTATACAATGTTTTAAATGAATTGCTATCCCAGTGGTAGCAGTTTCACATTCCATTGTTTTCTAGATGAGGATGTTCAGTCTGCTATGAACTTTTCTGAAACTTGTCATATTTGTCTGGAGGTTATTTTTTGTGGACACTGTGCACTACATATGACTGTTCTTGTTAAATCTGTTTGCAAATATCTAAAGATGAGTCTGACAGCTGTCTTTATATCAAATATTCTGAAAGCTGGAACTCGCAAATTTAGAACATGTTTCAGAATGGGTCTTCCTAATAGCATTGGCATATGCCATAGAAAGTTAGATTTAGCATATTTTGCAAAGACTACAGCTACACTTTATATACGTCAGAACGATGCACTTGTACGTGGAATGTTGGATGTGATAGTGCTACAGGCTACAGTATTTCAAGTAATTAATCACTTTAAGGGTCTTTCTCCTATGGCAGTTGATGAATAATGTTGCGTTATAGTTTGAGGCATTGTGTTGTATTTCAGATGTGGAAAACCTAAATTATGACATAGTATCGCTTAATACTCTTAAAAGTAGATTTATGGTGCAATCTGAAATTAATCTTTTCAAAATGTACTCTTCATTTTGTACTCTATTTATTTTGATTAAAAGTCCTGGAAAATGTATGTTTGAATGTATTGTTCTACTTGTAGCAGAACTTTAAGTTAATCATTTATTATATCATAGAAATCTCTCCCTCCAGTGTTGGAAGAGTTTTATACGGATATTAGTGTCTTTAGTTTGCAGAAGAGTTTACAATCTGTCTTTATTTCTCTTCATAGTCTACTTTTAGCAAATAAGACTGCCTTCAGCAAATCTCTATTGCCAAAGGGTTATTTCTTTAACTCTTAGAATGGAGTTTGTAGAGATTTATTTGGCAATAATACTTCTGATAATTTTAAAAGATAAATTAGGATTGCAGAGTAAATACTAACAAGTCAAGGACTCCTAAAACGTAAAATAAAGTTCTTCTGTAATTGCCACAAAATGTTCACGTTTCCAGAAAATATACTGGAAAGCCTACCGTAATATAGATTTTACATCAACTATTATCCATTCCAGAATGATATACCCTAGTGGCATTAATGTATTAGGTATCTTTTCATTTTTCTTGTATTGTAATTTTGAGGTATCTCAAACTTATGTTAAAGCTGCCATGCATTGTATTACTAAATTGTAACTATCAAATAGATAATATATTTAATACAGCCAATAAATAATACAAATGTATTCAAATTTGATTACGGAGTTGCTGTGTATTTTTGTGGATTTTTAACTTTATTCAGGAGCGCTCCTATCATGGGTGTAGTGTATAATTTAAGTTGAAGAAACGCGTCTAGAATGGTTACTAAAGAGCGTTAAGGGCTGCCTTAAAAAAAAAAAAAAAAAAAACCTTTCTGCAGGAAAAGTTATTTGGGGGAATTCCAAGACTAAATCTGTTAAGGTCCATAAATTTTATCTCTGGATGGGGAAGGTGTTTCTGATGGATGTCTCATACCGTTTTGGCAACTTTGATGTTATTCAAAGGAAGCATATCCTTACTCACCATGCCCTCCACCTGCTGCACCCCTGGGGACACTTCTGCTGTTGTTTTTCAGACTTAGCACAATGGAAAGAGCAGGACACCTGGAGTCACTTCCAGGGGGACACACACACCGTTAATACCCCGGACTCTTCTTGAGGAAGCTGGATTTATATTGGAAGCGGAGAGGATGCTGTGTGTCTGTCAGTTAACTTCAGGTTCCAGCCAGTGAAAACACTTGCAGGGCAGAGGAGGAAAATGCAAACTGGCTCTTTTCTGCCAACCATTTTGGTCCTGAAAATGAAGCCAAAGCAGTGGATTTACCACTGCTTTCATTTCATTTTGTCCCATGCCATGAAGGGTGTATAGACTTTTGTTCCTTTAGAGAACGTTTTTTCTCCTTTCAAGGGAGTGCGGAAGCAGCTTTATGGTCTCTCAGCCCCACGAGTGAAGTCAGAGGTGCTGCTTTACTGGTGAGCCCGTAGCAGTAAATCCTGTCAAAATGACAAGTTCAGACCTTTGCAGGTCATCCTTCTTAGGAAGCTGGTATGGGGACACCGTGGCTGAAACCCATGTTGAACAGCAGACGGTTGCAAAGGGGCATACTGAAATTCAGCACTTCTAAAGTTCTGTTTAGCTTTCAGTAATTTCTGTAAATGTTCTTCCGAGGAAAGAGTCAACCCTTTCCACCTGAGTCTGCACTATTAGGTTTTTATTTTTCTTTAGAAAGAAAGGGGGGGGGGGGGGGATAGGAAAAGATGTTTTTTGTTATGCACTGGGGTGCATAAACAATATACCTTCTGTGACCCCAAAAAGTAATTATTCTGCTCAGCTGGGGGTCTGTCAGGTGTTTGTCACTGCAGCGTGATGCTCCAGTTTTGGGTACTGCGCTTTGAGGAAGAGGCAGGCTAACAGAGAGGGTCCACAGGACTGCATGGACAGTGGTCTCGAGGGAACCCATGTGACTTAAAGAAGAAAGTCTGGAAAGTCTGTGTATGTGTGTTGCTAAAGGGGGGGGGGGGATGCCTTCCAACAGGCAAAAGGCTGTATCCAAGAAAGACGGGGAATAATTCCATTCTGCCTGAAAAGGAACGGGCTTTCATTTTCAGCAGGGCTGGATTGTTAAAGAAGACTTTCAACAGGTAGGGATCGGAAACTACTGGAAGAAACACCAGGAAAGTAGTATAGTCCCCATCACTGCAGGTTTTTAAAAACAGATTAGACACACACAGTCAAAAATGGCATAGGAATAACTACTCTGAGGACTGGCAGGGAGTGGGCTTACCCTTGCGCTGTCACTTCTTGCCCTGCTTCCCTGGATGATCGCTCATGACAAGTGCCACTGGTGACGCGTGGGACGTACGCTCTACTCTCAAAGTCAGGCCTCCACAGAATTTCTTGCAAAAATAATTTCTCATCAGGCTCCGCAGAGGAAGACTTGCTTGAACACAATATTGTCCTGGTTCCCAGCAGACGCGTTGGTCTGGGGGACCAAACAACGCCATTCCTTGAGCCCGTTCCTGTGAGGTCAGTATGGCTGGGGCAGACCATGCACTGGGGAGCTGGACTCAGTGTTTGCCTATCTGCCTTACAAACAAGGAAAACAGGCAAATACCTTCCGCTCTTGTTTCCCTCCCCAGCAGTCTCCAGTATCTGCAGTTTGTCCCTCTTCTCTTTCGATGAGCTCTCAAGGCAAGGACTGTTTCTTGCTACGCGTTTGCGTAGTGCTTAGCAGAGATGGGGCCTGACTTTGCCGAAAGCTGGGTATAGTTTGAATAAAGAACAGGATAAAAGACTGAAAATGAAGGAAGCAGCTCAAGAGACCTGAAGGGTGAGTAACAAATCAGTCTCTGGGAAGGCGGCAATGCTTTCACAGTCCCAACAGGTAAATACTTTCCTATCGCTTTCCTTTCAGGTACCTTACAGATTGCATTCCTTGTATTTATTTGCTGAAAGCAAAACAGCTAGACTCAACTTCATCTCTGTAGCTTCTGTGGGAATAAAATAAGGAATTATGTTTCACGAAGCCTGTGTTTACCAAAGTCTGTGGTCCAAAAAACTGAGAGATGAATTCCTTAAACAGGAGCTTTGTGGACAGTTAAGCCTGCAAATGTGGCTGCTAGGTTCACTTAAGAGAATAGCCCAGCCTTTCCCAGTGTCTGCCCCTATTTGTAGAAATAATTTGAATTGACTCTAACCCTCCTAAAATGTCATAAATATATCTCAGGAAACATCTAGTGAGAAGTAAGTCCTCACATTCAGAGGACAGCCTTAAAACATGTTCCAATCAGCAAGGTGCACAGTCTACCAGGATTTTAACCCATGGCACACCATATTGGCTCTCAAAATGCTTAGGCTGCCAGAATTAAGTCAACGCTGAACACTTTAGAGGAAAGAACCGAGTTCTGCACTTTCTGAAGAAACCTTTTCACTCCTGGTCAGGCTCCTGCAGTGCCAAGTTTGCTTGTGGTGCAGGATTTTGGTCATTGCTCTTCTATATTTCTGTGACATGACATTGTAAAGTATTGGGTTTATAGAAGCCCCAAGGTAGAAGAGAAGCATGGAGAGGAGGTTGAAATACTGCGTGAGGTCATACAGGATGATTTCAGTCTGGGCGAAGAGGATTCGGCCGATATGGAACGGGAGCCAACACAGTACAAAGGCCAAGACTACGGCCGCTAAAGGAGGAAGAGAACACAGTTTAGTCATTTTGAGCATAGTTTCGTCTGCTTCTTTAAACTATTTAATGACTGAGGCATCAGCTTGCAATATTTACCCCAGCAAAGACAAGACCTCCTGCCCCGAGCAGCTCCCGAGCAGCTCCCGAGCAGTTGTGCTGTGGTTGCTGCTGACCTCAGGCAACATGGGTTTAAGGTTGCACACCCAAGTGACTGTAACTAGAATAGGGCTCTCTGCACCCATGTTGCCCAGTGGAGATGAGGAATCAAATCGGGCAGAGGCAAAGCCTCAGCAGCCTCAGGCCTGTGCTTAGATTAGGAGCTACTGCCCACTCTTGTCCTAAAAATGTGAATCGTCACTGAAATCCTGCGATGGGTCTCAGGGGAGAGGAACAGGGGAGGCGTGGGGAGACAGAAAAGGGGAGCAAACCGCAAAGCAGTCGAGGAAGCTGGGGCTCAAGAGGTGCCGTGAGACACTGAGGAAGAGGAGGGAAACCAGAGCACGTAAAAAGCAAAAAAAAAAAAAAACCAAACTGGAAGAAAACAGCTGATGAGTAGCGAGACTGCACTGTTCTGCTGCGGTCTGTTTTCCTGCAGGTGTCTATAGCTGTGGGTGCTGCTGGGTCCCTGCCGAAAACGCGCCTCTGGTGCGGGGGGCTTGGGAGGGAGGGGCTGGAGGGATGGGGGAGAGTTTTTCGTAGGGAACTGAAAAGGGACCTATTTTGTGTTCAAGCCTTGGGCTAATCTTTGGAACGTTTTCCATTGCAGAAAGATACCCAAAAAGCGCGCGGACTGCTCGAGGCCTGACAGATGGGCCCTCGTTGGCCCTCCTTGTGACTCCTGCCGTAGCCGCTGCTGGGGGGGCTCTCGGGTGCGCCGTAACGCGGGCAGGAGAGCCAAAACCTGAATCTGCCCCACGCCACAGGCACCCGCTGGGGCAGAATAAAGATGACGTTCAAGTGAACCCAGACACGCGGGCAGTTACCGTCCTGGCCGAACCGGAGTCGCTAAGCTCTCTATATCGCGCAGGGGAAGTGGCTTTACAGCCCTTCCTTGCTACAAGAGGGGAAGCGCCTGAGCCGGTTTTAAGTCACAGGATTTTCCCGTCTCTTTAATCCCGCAGGGTCAGAGAGGGCGGGTAGAGAAGAGGAACGTGGTCTCAAAGCAAGCAGAAGCCACGCCGATTTGCTTCCCTTCAGTGCAAGACGATCGCGAGCCTGACCGCTTCGGACGGGGACGCCCCTTCGCAGCAGGAAAAGCTAGGAACCCAAGTCAGAAACCTGTCGATTTAAAAATCGTGGCGAACCTGCGAGTTTTGCATCCCCCCTCTCCCCCGCCGCGTCGCTAC